TAGACCAGCAATTCAGTCGTTTTTAATTTACTAATAACAGGTCTAAACGAAGGAGGCACTTGCTTCCAGTGGGCTAGTGCTCCCTTGGGCTTCCCCTGAGAAAACTCCGGCTGTTGCTGAATTCTGTGACTTCTCTAGCCCCTGCTAGGCTGACGCTGGAGGGGGATGGAGAGGGGTGTCTTTTCTCATTAGCTGGGAATGGCCTTTGTGCCCTCTGGGCTTGGGGCTGCACCGGAGCCTTCTCGGAGCAGCACGGACTTGGGAAGGGTGTTAGCAGGCTCCCAAAAGAGTGCTGCCTTGTTGGGGCGTCTTTTCTTCTTGAGAAAGCGGGTGTGGAGACGTCCCCTTTGCCATGGCGTGGTGGTCCTGTAGGCATGCATCACCCTGAGCGTCTGAGCTCTCCCTGGGGCTCTTGGTGGGGCTGTAGCCTGGCACAGCCCTTGGGTGCTGGGGCAGGCGCAGGGAGCCTGCGGAGCAAGGCGGGAGGGTGCTGGTTGTTTCAGGGGAAGCTGGCGGAGGGAGCAGTCCTGGGAAGCAAGAGGGAGCATCTCTCCTGCTCTCCCTGGCCCCCTCTCGTGCTGGGTTGGCATCACCTGGGAGGGGGAAGCAGCACTCGCGGCACCGGGGCTGGCGTCCGGCTGTGCCCGGACCTTCCCCCAAAGCAGCGGGTGCTGGGGGAGGGAAGGGCACTTCCCTGGGGTCTCCAGCTCTGCCACTGCCGGCCTTTCCCCGCAGAAAGCTGCGCTGGCACAGTTTCCAGAACTCGCACCGGCCCAGCCTGAACTCTGCCTCCCTGGAGATCAACCGCCAGTCCTCTGCCCAGCTCAACCTGCTCCAGAAATGCTCCCTGCTCCGTCTCACCGCCATCATGGAGAAGTACTCTGTGCCGCACAAGCAAGCCTGGACGTGGTGAGCCGGTGGGGAGGGGGACCGGGACGGTGTCCCCGGGCTGCAGCTCTGCGCCGTGCCAGGTGCTGCCTCCCAGCCCGGCTGCGCAGCCTGGGGCGGCTTCGGTGTGCGAAGATGATGGAGAGGGAGGGGGAAGAGCTGAAACAAAAGCGCTCTCTGCTCTGCATGGCTGTGGGCATCCTTGCAAGCACGAGCTGGGGGCTGACGCCTGAGCGCCCGGCACCGTCTGCATCCGGGGGGCTGCAGGCATTTATGGGGCACTAAAAATGCCGCAGTGACGTAAGAGAGCAGGACAGTGGTTTCCTTCTGTAGCCAAGTATTAAAGCATTTTGGCTTAATAAAAGGTGCTGCAGCTCCTGCCCGAAAGCTGCCTCGCCTATTTTCAGAAAAGAGCAGAAGCGCGTGTATGTGTGTTACCTGGGGTCCTGCGCCCCGCTGCGAGGTGGTGCTGAGGGAGCCGTTTGTTGCACTGACGTCCGTCTGTCCCACCCCGCAGGACTGTGCCCAAGTTCATGAAGCGGAGTAAAGGCCCCGACTACAGGGACAAGATGGTTTTCGGGGTGCCGCCCATCATCAACGTGCA